TAATGCGCGCAGATGCGTTCGGTGGGGTGTATTTCCTGCTCGTTTGAAAACTCGATGTGCGCAGAGCTTACGAGCAAAAGCCGACCGAGACAACGTCGCCGCAAGCGTAAACGAGAACGCTATCTGTTCGAATTCCACTCTGCGCAAGACCTCAAGGCCCTCAAGGCGGAAGCGGCCCTGCCATGCAACCTCGACGCGGTCGCCTGCGGATGGATCACGGAGCCGTTGCCGGTATCGCTCCTTGAGAGACGCGCCTGCGTCGCGCACGCGTCGATGCTGCGCCGTGCAGCTGTCCTAGGACGCTAAGGCACGCCAAAGTCGAAGCGCAACGGCCCACCGGCGCCAAACTGGCGCTCGTAGGGCTCACGCCACGCGGCGTCGCATTCCGCGGCCGATCGGGCCTCATGGCTCACCGCACACAGCACGGCAAGCGCCGAAGCCTGCGCCGCGCATGTCTGGGACGGCCGCCTGACAAGGTCGAGGCGCTGAGGTCACGCATCGACGTAGGCGAGGATCGCCCCGGAGAGGAGGTCCCGTGGGAGCGTCGCGAGCCGGTCCGCGTCGTAGAAGTGGAGGACCAGCGACACGAGAAGCGCTCGGTTCTCCCGCGTCCACGTTACGCTCGCAGGTCGTAGGGTCGGGGCGGTGGCGTCCGGTGCCACGGCATCGAGAGCCGGCCGCGCCGCAGCGAGCGCTGCGCGATCGCAGTGCTCCTACGAGGTGAGAAGTGATAATTTTCAGATATTTCATTCATAAAGATGAAGACGCCGATCGATGCGAGCGCTTGGAGCACGCGCCGGAGCTGGAGTTGGAGCGAGTATGCGTCCGGAGCATCTTGGAGTTGATTAATTTCGTATTCTACACTCTCTAGCCCGTACATCACAAACACTTCATCGTCAAACAACGCTGAATAAATTGAATCAATCTTCGACATGAGTGCGAGCCATGCCGGCTCCTACAGCTATTACTACTAGTAGTATTACGTTACAAATGATTTGTGTAAAGCAGATCCGAGTTAATTTTGACCCCTCGAGCTCTAGCTAGAGCTCTATGTGAGCTATTGACCAGGGGGTGGGGAAGGGCGCTGCGACGCGGCGGGTTGTCGAGGGTCTCGCTTTAGCGCGCGTGCGACGGCCGCGTGTCGCACCCGCGCGGGACCGCGCGGCGCGTTACGACGGTCGGCACAAGTTCGGGGGCGCCCCCGCGCTCGCGCACGCCCCGGGCGGGTCCCCGCCCCCCCCCTGGACCCTCCGCGGCCCACAGCGCGTGAAAAAAAAAATTGAAAAAAAAAGTGACCATAGCCCGAGCCTCTGAAAGGTCAAAATTAACCCGGATCTGCTTTAAACCCCCGGGCCACCGAAAAAGGAGCTATTCTATGCTCGCGGAGCTGCGCGCGCGACGTCGGGTCCTAGCCGCCTGGGCTCGTTCATCTTTTCGCCCCGATGGCTCGGGTAGGTCGTGGGCAGGTCGAAGGGCCAAACTCAGGCGGTAGGCAGCCCTTCGAGGGGGACCTTAGAACAGGCGGCAGCCCGTGTGCAGCCAACACGTGTTCCCAAAAGAAATCGCTTTGGGGAAGCGGTCTACGTACCCATTCGGCTGAAGCACCGCCATGGCGGGGCCCTACGGAGCCAGGACCCCGGGCCGGAGGTCGGAAGAAGTTCGGAAATGGGCTGCCGAGGACGCGCGCGCAGGATGGACCTATCAATTCAGGGGCGAGTCCTATCACCGAATGACGGGCTGGCCGGAGCGAGGCGGTCGGGCCGGGCGACGACTCTGGTTTTTATGATATAACTGCATTACGCTGGCTAGCGGTATACCTCTCTCTCTCTCTCTCTCCCTCTCTCCCCCTCCACCCCAAGCCTGCTCAAGGCCGGGCGCAGTGGCTGGAGTGGCCTACTGCCTGACGCAGGCGAGGACTTCCAAACTCCCATCAAAGCAGAAGATACCACCCTGGAATGACGTCCCAGCTACTCTAACGTTGGCCGAGGAGACGGCACTGAGGCTGGTGTACATTCCACAGCCATCTACATGTATAGTCCGGTCCAACTTGAAGGTGTTCAGATCCCAGACCTTAATACTTGAATCCTTTGAAGCTGACACAACCTTGTTTTGTTCGTCCAGGAAAATAATTCCAGTGGCATCTTGTTGATGCCCGTGCATTTGACAAAGCGCGGCCCCTGGTTTCCTTCTGTCCCACACCCGAACCTCGCAGCCTTGCCGGTTGAAACCTTTTGACGTCGTGGCAATTAAGTGTCCATCACCAGACACATTAGTTGCTAGAGGAAAGAATGTATACGTACCAAAGACTTGCACGGCCTCTTTGCGTAGATTCCGTGTATCCCACAAGCGCAGTTTGAGGTCTTCACTCCCCTGTGCGAAGACTGGAGTACCAGGGAGCCAACACGTGCACGTGACTACATTTCGTGGTATACGCACAGAACCCCGCTCAGCGCCAGTGGTGGCGTCCCACATTCGAACGCTACAATCACGAGACCCTGAGCTGACTATTCTGCCGTCGTCGCTTACGGCAACAGCAGTCACGTTTAGCTCATGCCCTCGAAATACACTAACGGGACTGTCTAGTTCTGCCTCGACGTCCAAGGACCACTGTGCAATAGTCAAATCCCTCGAGCAGCTGTAAATAAGCCCAACATTAGAGGACCGTGCCCCTGCCACACGATTTACGGTGGAATTATGTTTGCCCAGTCGGCGTGAGCTTGTATTAGCCACGTCGTACATGATCACGAGACCATCTGAGTCGCATGTTACCACTCGGTCATCACAAAGACACAAGGAACCCAACACGGCGCCACTGTTTTGGCGAGGCAAAATCTTATGCATCTTTGCAGAAGGTTCGCATGTATTTTGCTTCGGACAAACCAGCCCCATAAGGCGGTCAATGCTCCAAACTAAGTCGCTGACAGGCGTTTAATGCGAGATCACCAACGAATCCCATAGATCAGCCCTTGACTGCCCTGGCGGCACTCGACGTTTGAGCCAATTGTTGGAAATACACTCACAGCTCCAGCCCACTTGGATTCTCGTTCTTAACGTAAACGTGGCCCTTATTGTAGGAGTGTACTGTATTGTTGTAGGGTAATGAAACGACAGGCAAGGATCTCCTGACTTAAGCTTCCCCCATCAGAGTTTGGCACACAATATTTTCTCCTTCTTACCTATACTGAAGCTGTGTTTCTCGGCCAGTTTCTCTGCTTTCTAGAGAGATAGAGAGTTTTGTATCTCCCTAGTGGCTCGCTGGTACAGAGCCACCCAATGTCCTTCCCCTCCTTAATACTTTCTAACCCTGTTATAGTTGCTTCCCGCACTGTAATAGACGGAGAGTCTTCCTGGACCTAGTGAGGCAGATTCTCTGCCCGTTCGTCCAGTAGCCCCAGCCTGAGCCCCCGTATACTACGGCAGCTGAATCTCGTTACTTTCTCTATGATTTTCTCCTCCTTCAGCCACTTTAGCACTTGCTCCTCTTTATACGCGTCGATTCCAGATGTTTTGAATGTTCTACCACCCTTAGGTTTCTTTTTGCGTTTCTTGCGTTCTTCTTTGGTCAGGTTAGCTTCAATGCCGCTGAGTCAAACCAAGTATATGTTTTCTGGCCCTTGACAGCATTACCTGTCATATCCTTCATAACATCAGAGATCCATAACAGATTCAACTTGGGAGCTCGTTCTCTGAACCCCTCAGGTGGCACGTGAATGTGCATATTTTTAAACTTTTTCGGATCCTTTGTATCAAAATTGCATTGGGAGAATAGGGTTCGACTAGACTGGTCAGTTGCTGCTGTAGCCTGTGTATCGACTGTCTTACTATGATGGATAGCATCAATTAGAAGTTGCTCTAGGGAGGATCTCAGTACTTTGGGATAGGAAAGGAAAGAGAAAGGGAGGAGAGCCTCCTCAGTGGGGAAGGTCAGTCAGGGTGGCAGTAGGCTCAGTAGGCTGAGCCTATGGTCCTATAAAGAGGAAAGTAGACCCTGAGGGTAAGTTGAGGTAGAACTTGAGGGTAAGTTGAGGAAGAGTTGGGAAATAATCCTCGAGGCCCCCCTATCATCGCGACGTCACACTATAGAGATGACACTGCACTCTCCCTTATCTTGGACTTCAATGTTCGTAGTTACCCTAGTACGCCTCCTAGTTTGGAGTATTATTCTCTATCGAGTTCAAGTTCAAGTTATTAACAGTGACTGAAATTAAACGACTTTCAATAGTACAGCTGTACTTGCAGGGCGATCCAATGCGTGCCCGTTTGTCCGCCACGCGCAATTCGTCAAATGTAGACATCCTTCTCGCTCGGGCAGGCAGTGGACTATTCTCAGTGGGATCAGAAGCGGACTGCGGGCTGCAGGACTCTGATGACACAAGTCTAGCCACTACCTTCTGCAATGATAACTTTAAATGGCGTTGGTATCGCATGATGGCCGGACTGGATAATTCTGGCGTGCATATTCAGTTGCAGCCACGTAAGTTTTACAAGCTTTCAAGAATTCTTGGTCAAGGCGGCTTTGGAACTGTGCTACAATGTCATCAACCGTCAAGACTCCTCACGCAGTCAGGGAAGATAGCTGCAGCAAAAGTTGCAATCGTGACCCAATACGATGAGGTAGAGTTTGAGCGGGCCGCTATACGCCTTGCCACCGAGACAGAAGTTTTGGGACGGTTGCGATCGCTATTCATTATTTCTCTGAAAGCTAGCTATGCATTCAATAATGAGTTCTGGCTAGTTATGGAGCTTTGTGATGGTGGTACTGTCAGCGACACTCTCATGGATTTGAGATCCACCAGTGAGATTGGTGCCATCTGTGCCTGTGTGACCAGTGCTCTCGTCCACATCCATAACATGGGGATCTGTCACCGTGATGTCAAGCCTAACAACATCCTCTTGCACACCAAGGGCGCCGCAAAGCTCGCTGACTTTGGGAGTGCCTGTGGATTGGCATCAACAATGGGTGAATGTGCCAAGCTTCATTTTGAGAAGTTTGTAGCAGGCACCTTGCATTACCTCGCACCGGAGTGCTGCTGCGATCGGCCGACATTTATTGAAGCTCGATCAGAAGCGCGAGACGTCTGGGCTCTGGGTATTTGCGCCAACGAGATGTTATATGGGATCATCCCTCGTAGTGAAAACAAAGATCCCCGTGCTCTTATCCGCAATTTGGGTCCGCCATCCTTTGATCTTCCACCACCTAGCCGAGTCTATTCATCGTCGTTCATGCTTAGACGCGTGCTTGATTTTGCTGGCGCGTGCCTTCACCATAAGCCGAGATGTCGCATGAATGCGATAGGCTTATCAAGTACTGCTCTGGTATCGCCCTACTTGGAGTCAGCCGGCCGACATCTCGCTATCAAGGCTATACGAGCTCTAATTTCCCGCCGGGCCCTCCGGGCAGGTGCAGGTAAGTTGGGGTAGCTTCGCGCACATCCGAGTCTCTCGGTGCAGGAGGAGGAGTCGATTGCAGGATCCAGATGACTGCGGCATCCACAAGGTGGACTGCAAACCCCCCCCCCTCGGGTATGGGCGGAGGCGGCCTCGGGGGCTGTCCCAAGCTCCGAGCCAGCTTGAATCTTTTGGTCAGGGGATTTCGACAGTGAGAATCCGGCTTTTGAACGACTCGATGCCTCCGAAGCGTTGGTTCTCGCCGCCACCGCTGCGGATTACAGGGCAGGAGCCCGCAAGGGACCACACGAGGGCAAGTTACACTGGCAAGGGCTCAGGAACCGGAAACGCCCGACCGCGCCGGGGGTCAATCGCAAACCGCTCACATCCCACTATGCCAATACGGCTCGCTTCATTCTGCTGTCTTAGAAGCCAGCTTCGAATGCAATCCAAAACTCGGCTGTCTCTTCTGATTCCCAGATGACTTGATATAAGTTTGAGTCGTCGTCGTCAGGTTGTATTTCGCGGAGCAACTCAGAAACAGCCTGATTGGACCTAGAGAAACAGCCTGATTGGACTTCAGCATACTTCAGCATGGTGCTCAGACACGGCTTCAGTGTGTGATCACATAGACCCAAATTTTGTTTCCCTGATAGTAGCACCGACCCAGAAAAAGGACTTGAAGCGAGGATTGCGTGAACTTATCCATAGGACACTATTAGATGCTAGGTCGTTGTGGTCATAGTCGACGATTCTCTCCCTAAGTGATTGGTGATGTACATCAAGATGCTAAGATTTGAACAGGACACTAAACAAGGTAGATATCTCCACAAGACCAACGCAATGTCGCATCATCCACTAACCCCATAAAACTCAGTTCATATAACGCAATGCATGAATAAGAATCCGCTCTAGATTTACTGTCAAAGGGTTGATCAGAGGGTTGCTTGGCGGAAGCTATGGTGGTGGGATCGCACAAAGCCTGTCTGGACTGTACCTATGTGAATTAAACATCATATGCAAGTGCAGCTAAACACAAACTCACTGATGGCCGGGGTTTCACCGGAACCTGCATCACAACACGGGCTTGGGGTCTGCCGTCATACCTGTGGGAAGCACCTGTGAACTACAAAATTAATGCCAAACTTGGTTATTGCCGGCGCAACCAATCAGCACACAAAACTCCTTCGCTCTCATTGTTAGCATGGCAGCAATTACCAACCCAAACGAAAGCGACAGTTGTAGTGACAATAATTAGAACGCTGTAAGGATGAATTAGCTTCGAGTTTGGAGAGAGTGGCACTCGTTTCCCCGGTTTGAAACACAGCTTCGGTGCACACATTGACAGACCATTCAACACATGTGAGGCCATGTGGTAAACGAGTTTATCTTCAATGAAAATGTTCTCTCGTTGAGGAAAATTGTGATGAGCGCAATTGCTACTTATGGTCAAGTTGGGGAAGCGTCTCCCAGCCCACAATTGCACCGTGAATCCGGTATTCGGCTGACAAACTGGGCGACGACCGCGAACGTAATTGTACCTTAAAAGTGGCCAGAAGTTGCGCGGAAAACAAATGCAAACATAAGAAGTACACTGACAGCAATGAAAAAGCAGAATCCCCGCACGCTTCCTTTAACCCCGATACATTTCGCCACATGAGAAACGCAATACAAAAGGCGCACGATCGACTGACGCCTCTTGAACAATGAATCAATACGCGCCCGCCTTCGTCCCAGCTATGTTGAAACTGGGTCCCAAAAGAGGCGGTGTCACAGCGCTGCAACTCACACGCGTTCGATGTAATCAAATACGAAATATACGAGACACGCCAAGTCTTCACGCGAGCCTACAGAACAAAAAGTTCAACCGGTTGCCACGTAGTAGTTCTACCGTCGTCATTGATGGGGAGCGCTGCATACTTGACACCATCTCTTGAGTGCAGATTGAGTACGGTGTTGCCAGCGCAGTTGACAACATGAGTTATCTGATGTGAAACGATAGAGTCTAGATCATGAGCAACAGCGGCGCTACTGACATACACGAAACCGGAGATGACTTCTGAACAGACCTGCTCGTACCTTACAGGGGGAGGAGCTGACGGGGATGGGAAAGCACAACACGCAGTCTCACTCTACGAGTTTTTCTAATTTCAGTGTGCTCTCTTTTTTCCTATAATCATTAGCCATTTACAAACGGCGCACGAATGCGGGTCGCATCGTATCATTGGCGGGCACAGACAACATTAACTGAAAGTAGGATAGTTTCCTTGGACAGGGAGTCGACCTATGGGGGGGGGGGGGTGCAAAGAATATAGACTGACCTTGATGTCTGTCTCTCTCTCTCTATCTCTATATCTCCATGACTATACTGTAGTACAGTACGCTACACTACCACTACCCTACTACCATCATGCTAGTACTGTACCTACCCTCAAGACACCTATTGAGCAAAGACCCAAGATGATAGAGGCCATAGCAAAAGAAATTCATGACCTCTGTTCTATTGGTGCGTTTGAACTAGTTCCTATGCCTGATCGCGCTAGACCCACTGACTCAAGAATTGTCCTCAAGGTCAAATACAGAGCCGATGGAGCTTATGACAAGCACAAGGCTCGCCTTGTTGCGCGCGGCTTTCTGGCGCGCCTTGGCGTAGACTTCTTCAGTACTTTCAGTCCCATGGCTTCTCTTACCGCTGTGCGAATGATGTTCTCCCTAGCTGTCAATCAAGGTTTCGATATTTGGCACTGCGATATTCCACAAGCTTTTATACAAAGTCAGATTAGATAGAGAGTTTTGTATCTCCCTAGTGGCTCGCTGGTACAGAGCCACCCAATATCCTTCCCCTCCTTCATCCCTAATGGGAAGAGGAGGTACTTGTTGAGGCCGCTGTTCTGGAACTTGAATCCGAAGGCCTCGAGGGTGTGCTCGGAGATGAGCGACGGCCCGACGCCCTGGATGTGGCTGTCCGCGGGGATGTAGAAGTGCGTGTTCTGTGCCATGACGGGCACGTCGCGGCAGCCCTTCGAGGCGTGCGCGGTCCCGCCGCCGTCGAGTAGCGTACCATGGAAGACCTAGGTCTTCAAAGTTTCGGAGAGACTTAGATCTTTCGTTCATGGTAGGGTAATGATTAATGGCCCGGCCAGCGCGCAAGACGACATTGAGCTCTCCTATATACTATCTTGCAAAGTCGCGGAGCCTGTGTCCGAGCAGCAACATAAAACTTTTAATGAGTGGTCTAAAGCAGGCGCAGCGAGCAACCTCAATCAAACGAGTGGCCGACAGCCCGCGCAGCGGTAGGCCGGCTTGTACAGAACCAAAGGAATCCATGGGGCCGAGAACGAGACCTCCAAAGTTGTAGTTTATGGCCATTTTAACATTCTGCGGCCTTAATCAGCCGATATCTCGGGACGGAGTAGCGCCAAGATTGTAGGATTTTAACCTCAGCCAACTATGTTCTTGACAGCAACACAGCCATCGAGCTGCGGGAACTTGGAGGAAAAAATCTTTGTGTTTGGTGAAATGGTTCAACTGACCGTGGATGGAAATGCAGCAAAGACCAATCCAACCATGTGCTTAGTAGATGCAAATGGGCTGCTTGTCCAAGGCACTTTAGATAACGCAGATCTCGACGGCGCTTTCTACTCCGAGGGATATTTCGATGGATGCACGCGTATGATCGAGGTGGGATTCTTCCAACGCATTGAATTTCTACCCCTCTGATGTGGTCTTATCTAGGAATTATCAAATCATAAAGGATCTACTGATTCCAGAATTTCCGAATGGCTTCTAACAGAGTTGTCGCACAGGGATGGGGAGTTAGACAGTATCGTATCTTCCCTAACGAACGCAGTATGGGATAATTACAATGGGCTGATGGTTGGCATGCACCACATGGCTTCAATAGAGCAGGTGACTACCTATGAGAATGTGCAGGCGAGCAATGCTCGGAGAAAGTTGATGGAAGCAAGGAGCAAGATTATTAATGACACACTGCGGCTCGTACAGGCTCGCAGGCGGCGCTTTCGTTTGGAGAAAATTTGTACTGTGGCAACTAGTACTTCAGACCTGTTGAAGATGAATGATGCTTCTGGTAACGCAATTATGGCACGCGATTTCACAACAGCACTTGCGCTTTCTCATTCTTCTCGTCTATCACTAGCAGATTCAAACTTATCAAAGCTCGTGGTTTTGGATTCTGCTCGAGAACGAGCACAGGCCATTGTCCCATTGTCAAGCTCCACCGTCGATGATGCTCTCGCCAGTTTAATACGAGAATGCGTTGTTTTTGACGAAGCCAGGTACTCTGAGATCATATTAGCTTACACCGTGATCGATGATATTATCTACGATAAAGGACTTGCGGTCCCTTCACCGCGGCTTGCCAGATTGAGCAAACAAATTGAATCACATGCGATTTTACGCCTTGAAGAAGCTGCTGCTAGCGCAAATATTCAAGGCAATTCTATTGGGAAGACAGTTGTTGACCTCTCAAAAAGTTTCATCACCATCATTAACTTGATCCGCGACGCTGCAGTATGGCACTGCAAGTCTTCTAACGGAGAAACGCCCTCGAACGTTGCCGAAGTGGCTGCATGGCAAGCGACCTCGGGGCAAGTCCAGAGAGCTGGTCGCAGCTTGTGTCAGGTTGTTGATCATATTTGGAGTCGGTCGAGGCGCGTCATCATCGAAATCATTGCTGTCGACGTGGTGCCAGTCCCGGACTATGGCGAGGTGGTCGATGTGCGGCGAAGACCATCGCTCGCCGATGTCAGACTTTCATTAGACGCCATTGAGACCGTCAGGCAAATAGCTGCGGTCGACAATGACATGGACAGCAATTCAGATGTGTGTGATCTCATCTATCTTCCATATTTTAAAAGTGTACGAGCTGACATCTTAGATAGGCTGAAACAGATGCTTGCTTGTGAACCTTGGATTCCTGTCGATGTCTTTAGTAGAGACTGCAACGAGCCCGTCCGAGCACTTGATTGTGCAGCAATCATGAACGATATTCAGACCATAGTCACCAATGCACCTATCTTTGATCAGGTTCTCTCACTATTAAATCAAGACTCTTTGTTCCCCTGGGAGGCTCGCGTTGCTCAGCTACACCGCGCAAACATCAGGAGCATATCTCAATTCAATCAAGTCGCAACGCAGGCCGCCTTCAATGGCGTCCAAAGATCTGCAGTTAAGTTTGTGCAGGTCGTTATGTTGCTTGAGGGTGTGAACTTTGTGGCTGTCGAAACATTGTTTGAAATTTTTGAAACTTACCTCGCGGCCGTTGCTGCAACGCACCTGTCGTATGAACACGCGGTTGAACTGACATGCGAGCGGTCGTCGGTGCAACTCGCTCGTCTCATTGATCCTGCGCAATGTCAATTGGGAAAGGCAAATAATATCGATGATGTCTATGGTGCCATTGTTGCAGCGGACTCCCTATTTATAGTTCAAGAAACACTTCTTTCTTCCACTAAGGCTATCTTGAGCTATGACTCTAAAATACATCAAAATTACCCCACGTGGGACAAACTGAAGATCGCCACAAGTGTTGGTTCAGAGTTGAGAACTGCTATTTATCGTGCAGTTGGCTCAAGACTTGTAGATTCACCAGCCATATTGCAGGCTATCAGTTCGCTAGGTGTATCTGTGTGGCTCAGCAGCGCAATTCAAGAAGAGTGTAACTCCTATGTCTACGCGGTCGTCGCGAGGCTCGAAGGTTTATGGGCCTCGCTTACTCGAGCTAATGATGGAGACAAGCCACCATTTTGCGGTCCCTCGAAGGGGCTGATATGGACACACGCTGTTCAAGCAGCTTTTGAGGCCTTCGTTGAGGGTTTTGCCAGGGTCGGGAGATGCTCTACGGAGGGCCGGGCTCTGATGTCTATGGATCTCCAAGTTCTCCAGTTTTCGCTGGATAAAATGCATCCTGCGAGACCACTACGCGGGGCCGCATATGCTGACTCTTATATCAAGGCTTGGTACTTCGACAATCGAGACTTGCGGGCTTGGGTTGCTCAAAATGACGAAAATTACACCAAGCGACAACTCGCCGCGCTCGTTTTTGCCCATGAGTTTAAGACCCTCGCCGTTGAAATTCGGCGCTAGCGCACTCTGCTCCGCGTCTGTCTTTAACACTAGGGCACTCCCGTACTCCACGGGCCTAGTCTACTCTTGGTTGGGCGGGGGGGTGTGCTGAAAGTTCGCGTATTTCCGTCCACTTGGCCTTTCGTATCTCCCACTAGCCTGGGGCTAAAGGAAGCAAGGAGCCGTCATCTGGCGGTATACCCATAGCCACATCATACATTTCTTTCTTCAGATGCTCTGACTCCTCCCCGCTTAATACCATCCCTCCATTGCCGCAGCGGCTGTTAGTGGAAACCATATGTAAACCATATGCAACACTAAAAAATTTTAAAAGCCGCTGTAAAGGAAGTTTACCCTCAGCCCGACTCTAGGACCAGGATATGGTAATAATTAGG